TGACCAGTAATGACTGCCTACTAAGTACATAGCATTATTCCTTACATTATTCATTTTTTTTATAACGCTTAATAAAAAAGTTATTATTGAGTAAAGTCTGGCCAATCAGCGCCGACCTTTAGCCGGGCGCACGTCGGTGAGCCGCGCGCCGTGAAGTGTGTGCCGTCGCATACTAGCAGGCGCGCGGCTCACCGACGTGCGCCCGGCTAAAGGTCGGCGCTGATTGGCCAGACTTTACTCAATAATAACTTTTTTATTAAGCGTTATAAAAAAAAAATGGCTCAGGACTTTTCGTCTCAGTTTTTGGTAAGGAATAACGCTATGTATTTAGTGGGCGATCATTACGAGTCACCCTGTATATCAAGATATACAAATAAAGATATGAATATATTACGAGAACAATTATATTATCATAGCATTTTTAATAACAATATGGTCAACTTTTTTAGCAGTGCGGTGAAAATACGGTAACCGTGCGGAAGTATCAAATATGCATAAATATATATCGCTATGTAGAAGCGGCGAAAAGAAACCTCAAAAAATCTCATTCATAGAAATCGCAAAGTAATGAAAGCTTAAATATCTATATCAATAAATAAAAATTTTATTGTTTTGTTTAAATATCTATGTTTAAATATCAGTATTTAAACGTATATGTAAAAAAGGTATAAAAAATCGAAAATAAAACTAATACTTTTATTGCAAAGTAGGAAGTAAGGATCATGGAGAGAGAGTGAAAGGAGATTTGAATTTAGTTCAATTTAGTCTTGATAGGACGAAGGTGATTCTAAATCAAGTAGTTCTTTGCAGAACTCCTGAATGGCTTTTTCGAAATCGTCTGATTCCGAAAATTGCGGAGAAAAAGGGGGTGGATTATTTAAGAGGACTGTGGATAATGACGAGAATGATCTCGGGGAAGAAGGCGGTTCGGGGGAATAAACTGGGGCAGTGCTCGGAGATAGTTGCCCTTTTCGGGCCGATTCCGTGGCTCACGCCTATTGCCCCCCACTCACCGCTCGTGCGTTAGCGACGAGTCGCCAGATACGCGTAACTAAGGAGCGCGACGTTTTGTCTCAGGAGCGTCCGTATATAAGAATGCCCAAATATAATAATAAGACAATACTTTTCTATAAATAAAAGTTTTTCTTCAATATTTTATATCAATGAAATATAAAATATTGAAGAAAAACTTTTAATTTTGAGAATTTTCGCCGTGCATTTAGAAAAGTATTGTCTTACTATTATATTTGGACATTCTTATATACGGACGCTCCTGAGACAAAACGTCGCGCTCCTTAGTTACACGTATCTGGGGACTCGTCGCTAACGCACGAGCGGTGAGTGGGGGGCAATAGGCGTGAGCCACGGAATCGGCCCGAAAAGGGCAACTATCTCCGAGCACTGGTCTACTCTCTCGTACGGCCGGAACCGGAAAACGAGTCCCCGTTCGAGCATGCTGCCGCATCTATCAGCCCGGCCGGTTGTGACCACGTGACAATTATCCGCGAATCCCCAGTTGCCACGTCATCACGACGTCATCGAGACGCCAAGGCGACGAGATAATCGCTGTGCACGTAACCGAAGTAACGAATATGGCGGCGATAAGTAAGACCATGCCTTTCAGTACAATCGAAGAAAGTGTATTATCTTCTTGTGAAGAAACTGACAGCGAAGATGACTCTAGTAGCAGTTTTGATAGCAGTAGTAGCAGTAGCAGCAGTAGCACTAATAACAACAGTAGCAACAGTGACAGTGATTCAGATGATATTACTAGTACCAATAGTAACAAGTACTATTACATTTCTATAAGAATAAAATTATGCTATATACATTTAATATCTTTTTTAATAAATGAAAATGATAAACACATGATATATATTTTCAGAAAGAAGAAAGGAAATAAAGCTAGCATAACAAAAAAGAAAAGACTAATAGAAAACGAATTTAATGATCTTCCACCAATAGAAGATTTAAAGATCAGTGTTCCGGAAGTCTCGTGTGACCTTCTGGGCGAGGTAATCAATATATAAACATACAAACATAATTTTGTAGAAATAAACACATACATACAAATGTAGAAACTTATAAAATAAGCTAATATCGTAAGAGCAGTGATAATTTCTACACGTGTTTAAAATCTACATTTTTGTCACTGAACAATCCAGGTTGATAAGATAGTGCAACAATTGGTAATTGTAAAACCGAATTCCAGTAAGCCTACGCTCCACATCGATACAGTTTTATTTCTAGAGAAAGGAGAAAGAGCGCTCGGCAAAATATTAGATGTGTTTGGCCCTGTAAGCGAACCAAACTACTGCATTTGCTTCAATAGCCCTGAACATGTACAGGAAAGCAATATTAAAGTGGGCATGTCGGTTTATTATTGTCCAAATACACAATACACATCATTGATCTTTCTACACGAGTTACACAAGTCAGTATTCTGATAAATATGATACACATTACGCATGATTATGACATACTCAATGAACAATCTTCTGCAGAATGAAAAGTTATGACGCGGTGGTCGATGACGAGCCGGTATTTTCGGACGACGAGGAAGAGCGAGCTTACTATGAGATGCTGAAGCAGAAAAATAACAAAGACAGCTCCAATGGCAGCACATCACGGAAACGGCAATGTATATCGAGTGAGTATTTCTCAAGCTGTTTAATACAATTAAATGACTGAATAATTACTATAAATCGTTCTTCAGGTTTTACTCAAGATAAGCCAACAGCTGAATGGCAATCAAATCATCCATGGAACAGAAATGCCCAATTTCAGAGGAACCAGATTAGGGGGCAACAAACATTGAGAAATAACGATCATTTTAATCTATCACAGTATGGACCATATTCCTATAACTATTCTTGGGTACAAAATCAATATCAAAATAACATGCGTTGGCCGCCTGTTCCAAGAAATATGCATCCTATGTTCAACAGACCAAACGCGGAGTACGGGCCACTGATTAATGAAACAGGTTTGCCGCAATATGGCAATTACAATTCGAATAGCTCTGGTGACAGGAAACAACATTTTCAAGGTGCTACACCGAATTCTCAATGCAATAACATGCAACCCCGATATTCTAGAATTCCGTTCGGTGCTCCTCCGAGATTTAATCCTATGTTCCCTCCTTCCTTACCAATGAGCTATCCTAAACTTCCCAACGCATCATTTTCATACATAGATATGTCTTATCCGATTTCTGTGCAATCCCATACGAATGCACTTTGGCCGCCTTTACCGCCTCCTCCACCTCCTTCGACAGATTCGACGACCGTTGATTAAAATTCTACTTGAATTTAATTTAAGTAGTATTATTTTTATATTCTTTGTACATTCGCATAAGCTTAGATCAATTTCTAAATGATTGTGAATAAAAGAAGAGGTTATATATAGATATTCTGTGATAAACATGGAAATAAAAATAATAATTAAATTTATTTATCCGATGAAAAATGACATCTTTTCATGGTCATTAATCATTTGTTTTATTAGTTATTAAAAAATTATCATTTTTTGATTTATTTACAACAGGTTCTTCTAATTTTTGTTCTGCTATCGCAATATCATTCTTTATCTCTTTGATAAGTTCCTCTGAAAGAATAAGTAATATAAAATCATACACATGCAGTAATTATAAATTATGCAAGAATGGTAATTTATTTACATATTTTATATCACTACTATATTTTACATAGAGAAGAGAAATCCTTTTCTGATCGTATATATCCAGTAATTATCACTTTGATCTCTTCGCCATAAAAGTCATTGTGGAATTTATGCAGCAGATGAACTTCCTGCAAACAAAATATACTATTTTTTAATTATGGTAATAGTAAGAATGAAACATAATTTTGTAATTAAACATATAATTTTGGAATTTTAATCAATGAGGCTTCCCATTTTTTTAAATATTATTTCTCGCACCATTGGCTTCTTCTCATTCACCGGAAATAAGTTGGCGCTGGAAGTTCATATTTTTTAATAATTAAGATGATGCCGGAGCGAGGGGCGAACTCCAACGGGTTAGCGCCCTCATCTAAGCGTAACTAAAATTATTGATAATACCGACCGAAATTATCGATAATATCAATAATTTTAGTTCCGCTGTTACTCACATTAATATTTCTGCATGTTTTATGCATATTTGAAAGAGAATTGTGTTCAATATGTTGAAATCGGACAACATCGTGTATTTCTACTGCTCTATTGTCTCGCACGCATATCTAAGCGTATTTAAGCGTATAGATAACAGTATAATATAGACGTGTCTGCCTTTATCACATATGTGAACATAATTTCACATTGTTCATACGGACTATGTGTCTTCCCATATATCTTCCAAAAGGAATAACATTTGGTTAGGTGTTATATATATAATTGTGTATATATATATATGTATATGTATAATATGTACATAGACGTATACAGATGTATGTGTATGATATATATACATATATTCTGAATATTATCATGTAACTTTCTATAAGTTGCGATCTATGCAATGCAGCTAATTTTTTTCAATCGATATAATCAATGGATATATAACAACAATGTATTATTTATACAAATATATATTATATTGTCTTTTTTTGTTCGTATACATAAATGTTTATATATTTGTAATAAACATTTATAATACATTGTTTGTCTCCATCGCAACAGAATAATATATCGCCTCTGGCATATATTTTTTAACACACACGCAAATCGCATCTAGTGTGAAATAACAACCAGCTCACGAATTGATCGCCTCTGGCATATATTTTTTAACACACATGCAAATCGCATCTAGTGTGAAATAACAACCAGCTCACGAATTGATCGCCTCTGGCATATATTTTTTAACACACACGCAAATCGCATCTAGTGTGAAATAACAACCAGCTCACGAATTGATCGCCTCTGGCATATATTTTTTAACACACACGCAAATCGCATCTAGTGTGAAATAACAACCAGCTCACGAATTGATCGCCTCTGGCATATATTTTTTAACACACACGCAAATCGCATCTAGTGTGAAATAACAACCAGCTCACGAATTGATCGCCTCTGGCATATATTTTTTAACACACACGCAAATCGCATCTAGTGTGAAATAACAACCAGCTCACGAATTGATCGCCTCTGGCATATATTTTTTAACACACACGCAAATCGCATCTAGCTAAAGATCGGCGATGACTGACTTGTGTATATATACAGGGTGTCCCAAAGCACCCTTGATAACGCTTGTGAGTAAGTAGAGCACAGTAAACTGAACAGAAAAGTCCTGTAACATTTTTTTCTATAACGCTTAATAAAGGAGTTATTATTAAGTAACTTCTGGCCAATCAGCGTCGACCTTTAGCCGCTCGCCTGGTAGTGTGCGTTAGCTCTCCGTCGCTACGGCGACGCACACTAACAGACGGGCGGCTCCTTGACGTGCGTCCAACTAAAAGTCGGCGCTGATTGATCAGACTTTACTCAATAATAACTCAAATAAAGATGAATAAATTAATTTATTAAAATTAATTTATTAATTTATTAAAAGAGAGCAATGTTAAAAACTAGCATTAGTACTTATGTCCACCCTGTATATGGACTACACACACAAACCACATGTACAAGCGTATACATATATTCGCGGGACCTTCTCGCTGCATTACTATTGAAAAAATATACATTCTACAATTTATTAGAAAACTGAAAACTTTATTATAAAATGTGACGAAAATTAAAAAACGTTAAAATAAAATATAAATATAATGGATTAATGAGTTTCTTGCGATTAAAATAATACCAAACATGACATAAATTGGATTATTTTTAATCAATTATGTATTATATGTAATTATGATTACTTATTTCATTAAAAAATTATACGATTTATGTCGTGTCTAGTATCATTTTTATCGCAAGAATCTCATTAATCCATTATAATTATATTCATACTAATAACATCCAAAATGTAAGTTTCAGTTTTTATTTTATAAAATGTTTATATTTTGTACATAAGGAAAGATCCCCGGTTTTATCTGTAATCTATATGTCATCTTATTATAGAAAATAAAATCTCTGTATTTCGCATTTTATATATCTGAAAATAATTGTAATGGATTAATTGGATTAATGCGATTAAAATGACACTAAATATGACATAAATCGGATTATTTTTAATGAAATAAGTAATCATAATTACATAATACATAATTGATTAAAAATAATCCAATTTATGTCATGTTTGGTATTATTTTAATCGCAAGAAACTCATTAATCCATTATATTTATATTCATACTAATAAAATCCAAAATGTAAGTTTCAGTTTTTATTTTGTAAAATGTTTATATTTTGTACATAAGGAAAGATCCCCGATGCTATAGAATCG